GGCACGTCAGATACAGTTATTAGCAGCCATACTCGAGGCAGGCTTTCTGTGTTCACTGATCGCTCGGACTGAATGGCTGAGTTAGGACTTAGGCTTGAGACCCTCAGCTTTTCTCTGCTTCTGAAATTCAAACTGCAAAACTAGCTGCCTCCAGCTGTGCCTGCCCACAACCCCCCCCGCCCCATCCCCACCCACATACCTTCTTTGAAGGGCAATTTTTTCTCTCATTTTAGCTTTTCTTTTTGCCAGTCATTACCACCATCTCACCAGCCACTGTCTTTTGGATCTTTGCCCCCACCCTGAAATGCCACAGTCAGGTCCGGTCAACCCCTCTCCGATGGGGACCACGGCCCTGATGCCCCACCCAGGCCTTGCTGACGGAGGGGTGGGGGCCAAGGCCAAGGGCGAGGCAGGACAGACTCTGCCTTGGCTCCTGTGGATAGAGCCCCGTTGCTATAGAGACAGGAGCCCACATGGCCGGGCACAACTTGGAGGAGGGGAGAGGAAAGGGTTACTGGTGGACAAGTCAACTACTGGCAGTAAGACAAGGAGAATGGCCTTTACATCCTTATGAAGATCCTCCCATCCAAAACCCATCTGCCTCCGTGCACCATTTTTACCCCTCTGGGTCCAAGCTCCATAGGGTTGGGGGCCTTCTCCCTTGGAGGTAAGGATGTAGGAGCTTGTAACTCAATTCCTTTTCTTTCCCATGAGTGGTAAAAATTGGAACCCATGATTTAAGGTAAGAGTTCCTGACACTGGCCCCTCTGAAGGCAGTGCTTCCCTATGATTTCCCTGCCTGTTGCAATTGGCAGCAGTGGCATTTGGCTTACACTATGCCCCAGCCCCATCCCTGCCACCCCAGGGAGCCGCACAGCCACCTGGACATGGCTACAGGGAAAGACAGAGCTCCCTGTATTAGGTCTCAAGAGGAGGCAGGAGGTGTCCCCCTAAGACTGTTTCCCCAACCTCACCCTTCCTAGGTCCCTGGTCTAGATCCTGGTTTTCTGGTTTAGAGAAAGGCAAGCTCTCTCACCCCCTGTGACCCCAGGGAGTCCAGAGGAGCTCTGGGGGTTTATCCAGACCGTGACTTCATTAAAAAGGGGTTTAACTTTACTGAAGTCACCAGACTGGATCATTACTCCCACTGGCATCCTCCCCATCCCCACGCAGGAACGGACCCAGGATGAAATGGCTCTAGCATCTCCCCCTGCTGCTGCCCACCTCCTCCCACCCTCTCCCCACAATCTACAGGAATCCAATTATGTGGAATGTAAACTAACTGTGCGGACATTAAACTACATCAGTTTCTGGTTTTTCATCCCAATCTCCCTTTGCCAGAGTGAACGGAAGTTTATTCTCTGGGATCCCCGCTGTACCACTTATTTAGAGCTCTGTGCATTTGGCATCAATCTGTAGCCTTTCTGTACAGTTGGGTTTAAAAGAAATTTGCTGGAGCTAATGAGACTGAGATGGGAAAACAGACCAGGGCAGGCTGACCAAGGACCCAGTCATTTCTCCTCCCAGTTCCTCCTGTGACGTGCTAAACGCAGGCAGCTCATTCCAGCACAGCGTAGGGGCTGACAGCATGAGCTTTGGGTTTAGAAGGTCAAACCCTAACTTTGCCAATGACTTTGTATGACCTCAGGCAAGTTACAAATCTCCTCTGAGTCTCAGTTTCTCCCCAACAGACTGGTTCATCGAGGAGAATAAACAAGAGAAGGCTCAGAGCAAAGCCAGTACCTACACCACCACTCAGCAGGCAGAGAGCGCGCTGGGCTGTCAGGCACCCAGTTTCAGCCTCCTGACGTTCCTGTGGCATAAAGGGAGTAGGTAGCAGCATGACCCCAGGATTACCAGGGGCAACTAAGAAGCAGAGAGGAAAGCAACTTGCTCCAAGGCCCCACAGAGCGAGGCGGGAACCCAGGGGCTCTAGTTCTTTTTTCGAATGCTCTTACCATTCTGTCATGTTTCACAAGAGCAAAGACTGATCCCTAAGATGCATGAATCAGAGTAACACACTTAGAGAGAGCATGTCAATTCCCACCACCACGAGGGGCCCATGAGGTTCTAGAACTAACTGTCCTACTAACTCGTTCTTATTGTTGGTCCTTTGTTGGAATTTAATTGTGCCCTTGTTGAGTCCAGATGCTATGTGTGATGCTCTGTGCTTTATGTACATTACCTTAATTCATCCTCTGAGCAACACATGAAATAAGTGTTATTAACCCCATTTTACAAATAAGGCAATGAAGGCTCTGGGAGGTTACACATCTTGTGCCAGATAACAAACTCAATCCCAAAGTGCATACCCTTAGATGGCTTTGCTTCACGGACTGCTACGGAGCTGGAACACTGGCTTGGCCACACTAACCCAGCTACAAGGAGAAACAGCAGAGGGACTCACAGCAGGACGTGTCATTCCTCCAGCCGGTCACCGCAATCCCCTGAGTCTGGCAGGTGCTGGCGTAGTTCTGCAGCCAGCTGCAGGCGGTTTGCACCGCGCCCCCATCGATGCAAGAGTCAAACAGGCAGTTCTTGTAGAAGAAGGTGGGGTTGACTTTGCTGTGACACTTGGTGAAGCCAGCATTCACGCTGGGGATCAGGCCACACAGCTGCTGCACCTTGGACAGACCTTCCACCTTGGCACAGGATGGGCAGCGGTCCCCACAGCCAACCTGGCAGAAGGTGTCTCTCTTCACCCAGCTCTGCCCAAACTCGTTGACGCTGGATGCAGGCACACCCATGGGCATCTCCAGGTCGTCGTCTGGGTTGCCATTATAGCGGCCGCACAGGCCGTACGTGCTGTTTCGCATGCTCCGAGGCACCGTGATGGACAGGTAGGTCTTCCAGTCATACACGACCTTCAGGCCAAAATCAGTTTCCACCACCACGTGGAAGCCAAAGGAGAAGATATTTATCTTCCCTTGTCCCAACTTCAGGGGCAGATACAGCCGTTCGTTGTTGACCTGTAAGAGAAGAGGATTGGAACAGAGACACACACTTGGCCTGGAGATTTCCCGGTTCTTCCGAGAGGCAGACCCAGAGGGGGGTGCAGGCATGTTTAAGGTAATCTTTGCCTTTAGTGGTGTTTATGTCAGTCAACTATTATTAGTAGGATTTGAACAGACTTAAATGACTATCCTTTGTGCACTAATATACCTACTTATTCCTGTGCCTTCTGCTGACATAGCATTATTTCCCCCAGGGGTTCAAATTGTTTTCTCCAAGGTAATGAGAGGGTAAGAAGAATTCAATTAAAGTTTAGACTGAAATACCAAAATCTAGAACTCCAGTGTTTCTATTTCTAACTCTGCTGTCAATTTATTTTAGGCAAGCCCCAATGTATAAATTCCTTTAGGTTTTTTGTTTTTTTCCTGAAGAATGACTTTCTTTTGCTGGTCCCTCTGCCTACGATGCCATTCTTCACCCACCAACATCCCCTCCTCCAGATCCTCCTCGAATGGTGCCTGTTCTCTCAAGCAAGATTTCCTGAGCCTGTGGTCGGAATTAATCACTCCCTTGTCTGGACAACCAGCACATGGTGTTTATATTCTCTTGTACTCTCTTCGCCTTTGGCCAGGATCTAGTATGTGTACGCTCTGCACTTGAAACACGTCTCATCACCTGCCTTGTATCACGCTTGCTTGTCTATGTGTCTGTCTCATCTACGACATTATGAGCCACTCAAGGGCAGGAACCCCACTCCATCAATCTTCATACTCACCTTCCCCTCACTGCCCCCTGGACACCCAGCACAATGCCTCACACAGAGAGGACCCTTGACACACGCTCCCTCCCATATATTTTTAATTCAGAAGATGAGGCAATCCCTGAACATAGAACCCCAGAACTGCGCTGTCCTTGCCCCATTCTGATTCAGATGAGTAGAACCTATAGGCGTTGGCTGGCTGAGTGCATGGGGGACCTTAGTGGCCACTGGGAGGGCTCCGAGGGGAGCAGGTCTTTGAGAAGGTAGGAGGTTTCTCTGGTGGCCAGAAACACCTTCCCAACCGACCTCCTTAAACTCTCTCCTGGCTGACATCTCATCCCCAAGCCCGCAGCTACTGCTTTGGTTCCAACGCTCATTACCTCCCACCTTGACCACTGAATACGCTCCTACCAGTCCCCTGGCTCCTGTGGTGCCCCTCTCCTCCATTCACACACTACTGCCATGCCCAAATTTTTTAATGCAATTGAAAGCAGTTAGTCCAATGCTTAAACCCCTGTCCATCGCTGGAGTAAAACGTCTGATATGCTCAGCACATCACACAGAGCCCTGTGGGGTTGGCTCTGACCTCTCAGACCCCACCCACCTCTGTCCTCCCCTCCAGCATACCCAGCACTGTGCAGTTCCCCAGAATGACCAAGCCATGCCATTCCACCACGCCCTTTCCTTTGTGCAAGTGTGGGGGGTCTTTGTGAGCGGCCCCCAGCCTCAGCCTCTGTGGGCTAATGATAACTCACAGCTGGCCTTGGCTGAATGGGAACCACTTGGCTCCAGAGCTCATGATCCCCCCACACCTCTACCGCACCCCCACCCCAAGGGCAGCCTTGGCCAATGACTGACCAACATGGGGACCAGCATGACCAGGCCATGTGCTGGGGCTCCCAGTGGCCCAGGCTGAGGCTGGTCTCCAGCTTAAACCACATCCTTGCAGAGCTTCCCTCCCTCCCTGAGAATCTGCATCTTGGACTCTGCTTCTAGGGAACCTGACGTAGGGCAACAATGATGCCCTTGCCCCCTTCTCCCTCCAAGGGGCGCTGCTCGCCCATCAAGCTTCTACCCAACTGTCTCCTCTTCCGTGGGTATTTGTCTAGGCAGAATTCATTCACTCATCACAGGCCATTGGTTCGGTGCTACCGTGTGCCAGGCACTGCATGAAATGCAGGAAAAAAGCACAGGGCCCCTTTCCTAGGTGCTCACAGGCATGTGGTAGAGCAGGCACGTGGACAGAGAGTAACAACATCTGACGAAAGCACCATCCTAAAGGAAGGCTCTGGTTGGCCGGTCAAGGATGAACGAGAGTGAAGGAAACGGGATTCCCAAGGAGCGGGCTGGAACAGAGGCGAAGAGGAGAGGAAATGCCTGTCAAGTACAAAGATTTACAGCAATGTGGTGCTGCTGGGCATTAAATGTGACCTTGGGGGTGGTGGGGGGTGAAGGTAGAGAGGGCCTGGATCATGGAGGGCCTCGTATGCCATGTTCAACTGGTGAGGTTGAGCCTGAAAAGACCCAATCATTTTGCAAAAGAAGTCATTGGTGGCGTTAGTAAGAACTTCAGTAGAAGTGATGAAACTAGCAGTCAAATCACAGCAGTTACGCAGCAAGCAGGAGATCAGGAAGCAGGGATGGCTCCCTCCAGGAGCTTGGAAAGACAGGGGAGGAGAGAGACTGGATAGCAGCTAGTGGCGAACCAGGGTCAAGGTGTTTTTTTAGAATGAACATGTTTATGGGATGAAGAAAAGGACCTGAGACATAGGAGAGAGAGGAGACGACAGACGGACAAGACCCCTGAGAAGGCAGAGAACAGCGGTGCAGGACAAGAGTAGCCAGGGGACAGAATGAGGTCCCTTCTGTGCCTGGAGGAGGCGGGGTGAAGAGGACAGTGTGACAGGTCATTTCAGTGGCCGGGTACGGGTGTGGGAAAGGCGGAGGGACAGCGTGCATGGTGAGCACGACTTCCTCAACCGGGAAGCCCGGAGATGGAGCGGCATGTGTTCTGTGCCAACACACAACGCAGACGTGGGGGGTCCCAGAGGAAGCAGAGGCCACGGGGACTCCCACCGGCCTGGACGACGCACACTGATTAACCAGGAGCTGTGCACACCCAGGCTGAGTGTGCCCGCTTGCTCGCCCCCCGAGTGTCCCTGCGTTCTGGAGTCTAGGCTACTGGGTGTCAAACAGCAGGCAGGACTGGGGGCCAGGCGATGTACCTGGCTTCAAGCTGAAGGGCTTGCTGACTCTGCCACTGCCCAGGAGCACCCTGGGAGGCAAAGGCAGGCAGGCACAGCCTCTCTCAGGCTCTAGGGCCCCGGGAAAGCCGCCTGCACCCCCACATCACCGCCCTCCATGGGTGAGAAATGGAAGGCAAGAGGGGGCAGAGGGAGAGGAAGCAGAGACAGGGAGGGGTTGGTGTGGAAGCAGAGCTCTGGTGGGGAGGCCAGGGCAGAGGAGGAGGACGGGGCATGGGGGTGAGGGTGGGGGAATGGATTTCAAACATTTAAGTTTAGAAATAAGATCACATGCTGTATTTTTAGTAGAGAGCTTTCCTTTAAACAACTGATTGGCCTCTATAGCCTCTTCGTTCGTTCTAAAGTCTGCTCAAAACCCACGCTTCGCTGCCCCTCTGGGAGTGACTGTTTCCCATTTCCTAGAATGCCCTTACCTCGTTCTCGGCCTGGCTGACCTGCTCCTTCAGGGCTGAGCCCCGGGTGAGCTCTTCCAGAAAGGCCCCTCTGCAGGCGCCCCGGCTGGCTCGGGCATCCTGAGCATTCACAGCCCTCTGCGTGTCACATTTCTGTGGGCTTCGCCTTCCGCGGACACCCCCTGCTAACACGTCTGACTCTCCCATCACACTCTGAGCTCTTCTCAGGACAGAAGCCACATTTGTTTCATTTTCCTACCCTCAGGATTTGGCACAGAACTGGCATCAACATTCTCCCATCCAACTAAACTGGGCCAGAGTCATGTTCAGAAACTCACTCTTCCCTGGTGGCCGCAGAATCAGCAGTAAGTGACAAAGACATGAGCTGTGAAGCTCCCGGAAGCCTCCCCCCACATCCCCCACCCCCACCCCCACCCCCGGCCCGGCCGTGAAGGACCTGGCTGTGCTGAAGCCTGGGGGAGGTGGCAGGAGACAGGCCCTGTCTCTTGAGGTCTGACTGTGGGTCCCCGGAGACGTGGGCTGTTGCTGTGCCGGGAGTGGCTCCCCTTCTGCCGCTCGCCCCCATAACCCTGGCTGGTACACAGATGCCACATTTATTTCCAGTTTCCCTTGGCTTAATGGGTTTTCCCGTGTCCAGTATTGCTTAATGCAGGGAAATTTCAGAGCCACAGAGGGCCCCCGTGTGCCTAGGCATCGCTTCCACATTGCCTCGGTTTCTGAGAGCGCCAGCAGAGACCCAGGGCCAGGTGCTGTTGGCCCAGCACATCACTGCCTGCTGTCGCCATGACGGCCACCACTCTTCTCTCAGGGAGAGATGGCGACTAATAATAACACCAGGCGAGAAACAAATGCAAATCACTGAACAAGCAGACCCTGTAATGCATATTAATAATTCAAAGTAAATGCTAAATCTGTCCCTCAGGTCCCCAAAGAAGAGAAACTTCAAGCATCCTGAGCTTGGTCTTGTCGTCAGAGGTCTGAGAGCCACATACTCTGTTGCCAGCGTGAGCACTTAGCGCATCTGCGTGACGGAGAGGGGGGCCCTGACAAGGGGGTCCTGTGCCCCTTTAATCAATTCTTCCTTGATGCTCATTTCTCTCCAGTTCCCTGTTGTGGGTTGAATTGTGTCCCCCAAAAGACATGCTGAAGTCTTTACCTGCAGGACCTGCGAATGTGACCTTATTCGAAAATAGGGTCTGTGCAGGTGAGATCAAGTTAAGACGAGATCATACCGGGTTAGGGTGGACCTTAAATTCAATGACAAGTGTTCTTCAAAGGGAGAGAGACTGGCCCAGGGAAGTGAAGACACAGAGAGAAGGCCACGGGAGGACGGAGGCAGAGACTGGCGGTATCGCGCCACAAGCCAAGGGGCACCTACAGCCAGAGGCCAGCAGGGGGCGGGGGTCAGCTTGTGCCCTGGAACCTCAGGGGGACCAGGGTCCTGCTGACACCCGGAGTCCAAGAGGCCTCCAGAACTACGAGAGTAAGTTTTGGCTGTTCTAAGCCACCTAGTCCGTGATGTTGTGTGATGGCAGCCCCAAGAAATGAACACAACCTTCCCTCCCTATCCTTTCACGGACAGAGAAGCCAGCTGAGTGGTTCCCAGGGGTCTCGACGTCAGCCACGAGCGCATCTCATGAGGCGAGAGCAGGACGTGTGGCTGGGCGGGGAGCCGGCCCATCAGAGCTCAGCTCCAAGGCTGAGACAGCCGGTGCAGGGGGGGTCCCAGCCACCACGACGGCGAGGAGGAGGAGCATTCGAGCGACCAAGTGTTCACGAGGATCCAGTGGTCTATCTGTGAAAATCACTGGGTCAGAAGACGCATGTGTAGACTACGTACCTAAATGCTAGAGCGTGTGACAACACAAGGAAGCAATTTCTTTCACAATTCACAGGCTGGGACAGGACCTACGAGCAGATTATACTTAAAAAGAGGAACAATCCTGGAAGGTAGAAAGGGAGAAGGGTGTTGAATGCCGAGGAGACAGGGACCCCCACGACCATGTGGGCATCAAGGGGAGAAACACATCTGATGAGGAGGAAAGGAGGAAAGGACAAATATGACGCCAACCACATGGACGAAAATGACCGGTAAGTTTGTCGAACACATCGGATGGAAATGCAGAGAAGGAGGTCATGGTTAACAGGCAGCTTCAGCCGTGCAGACCCCTGCGGGAAACCTGATGTGGCTGAAAGCAAAGCACCTGATACGCCCCTCACTTGTCTCAGTGGCAGGTCCATGTCCCAGGTTGCTGAGGGGGTGACCACAGGGGACCCTGGAAGAAAGGTTATTATGCCACCTCATTCATTCACTGGGCAAGTGCGCTGAGTGTCGCAATGTGTGTATTCAGCTGCCATAAGGATGAGTCAGGCATGGTTCCTGTGCTCAGGAAGCCCACGATTAGTACTGAGTGAGCTAGGTGTGAACAGCGCCAGAAATACATTGGGATTAATGCAATAATGGGTAAGGGAACCAAACGGCGATGGGCAGCACAGAGGAAAGCCATCCGGGGTTTGGGTACAACGCCCAAGGCAGGGGAGAAGAATAGTGAGGCCTCTATCTTAGATGCTAAGAAGGCACATTTTCCAATAAATGTGGAAGGGAAGACAGCTTAAGAAGCTTGGAAAC